TGGTATTTTCATGCCATCCTAAGAGTCACATATGGTGAAAGGGTGGTGTAGAGCCTAATATTACAGATCAGTTACCTAAGGCCATCTAGCACAACAATTTTGTTTCGTACAATAGTCCTATGCTCATTCATAGAATTGTGAAAATTACCTACCAGATAACAACTTAGCTGATTGTGGTTAATCAATATCTTCCTTGAATCTTGAGATGAAACCACGAAAAGGAGAAATAGTCTATCCATTTGGAGTTTTAAACCATGGAGAAAACATAATCTAGGGTCCTGGGCTACCTATAAGAGTAAACTTTAACGCTAGACACAAAGTGAAACACTATCTAAGCAAAGGAGCGTGAAAGATAAATCGCAGGGAAGAAATGTTAGCAAGAAGAGGGTGTCCTGTCAGGACATCCTCCTGTGAGATTTTAGACATAGCAGAGCTTCTCTCTCTCCTCTGCTGCCTCTTTATGAGGAAAGAGTGTCCGGGTGAAACTGCAGGTGGGGGAATGGAGGGGCAGCAGCGCGGGCTAAGAGAGCAGCGCATCTCCGTCGGGGACATGTTCTGCAGGATTCTCACCTGGGGAAGATTATCTACCAAACTGCTGTGACGCTCTGGGGAAAACCAAGTTTGCTTCTAGCACATAAAATAGTTAGGACACAGAGAATGGAAGTTTTCAATTAGTAAAGGTAGTCGGAACTTTTGATCAGTGTCTGTTGATAATGGACCTCTCCAACCTTAAATATGTAGAAATGCTGAGCAAAATCACACACACACACTCACACACACACACACACACACACACACACACACACACACACAGAGTCCCAGGACTGAATAGAAAGATGGACTCTTAAGTCAGCCCAAGTAGATGCAACTAAAGTTAGAGGAAGACCTAAGAAGGGTCTGAGTAGCTTCCAACTGGCCATTCACCTTCCTAGGAGCTGAAGCCAAGAGCAGCAGATAGCACGGGGCTTGGTCAGACACAGCAGGAATTCTCAGGGGATATGATCACTCTCTGGGAAGAGGCTCAAGCACTCCTTACGCCTGGACCCCAGAGGATCAACGGGGTCACTGAAGAAAGCTAAGCTAGTGTCACGCACAAGAATTCTGAAATTCACACCGGCTCACAGCATGGTGGCCCAGGTCTAGAAGATAACACAGAAGCTGATTCTGAGCCAGTAAAATGTATATGACCCTCAGCAGAGGCAAAAACAAGGTTGTCTTCAGAAGTGGTGTCATTACCAGGTGTACATTCAGAAAGGAACGCACAGTTCATAAAGAAAATGTAAATACCTTTGTTCTTTAATCATTAAAATGTCCGTGAAACTGTAGAAACTTCAGGCAATATTAAAAGGCAAATGACCAGATGAACAAAGTACCTGCAAGTTCAATAGCTGGTTAAGATGTATCATCCTCTAATTATAAGCCCTAGCTATAGATTAACAAATAAATAGAAAAATAAGAAATATAAATAAGAAATCTATGAAAGAGAAAACTGCCCAGTAAACATAAGAAGATATTTAGTCTTGGAAGCACCCATGGAAATACACATTAAAACACTAATGAGGTGCTTTTCACATTTATCTGATTGGCAGAATTCAAAATACCAACTATAACCATACAAAGTTAGAAATTATATAAAATTTAAATATACTGATTCTAAAACATAATCATTTTCCTCCTAAAAGCACCTAGAGAAAGCTCTGGTTAGGCCCCAGCTGTCTGCAACTGCACACCAGGCAAGACAGCAAACCTTGGTAGGCTGAACTGAACTCTACTAAGGAAAATGGAGAAATTGGCAACTGTGTCTACTATGGAATATTAAATACCAATTAAAAAAACAAACCAGTTCTACTCTATACTGTTAATACAGGGCTGCTTTAAAATACAAGCCGGGATGGGAAGAAGTGTTGCAGAATGGTGTGTGGTACGATAGTTGCTGCTGAAAAAAATTAAATCATAGCCTACATATGAAATGCTTTAACAGCTATATATTATTCTGGGATGACAGAAACAAGTGAGGTGCTGACTGAGGCCTCGGGCAATGATTTCAACTTCATAACACTCCACTTGCTCTTTTTGAGAATGTGGAACAATGTAAAGCATATTAAAATTTCCACTGCTATGTGATGGGTACCAAGATATTAATCTCTATGTTTAAAAAACATTCCCTAAATGGAAAAATATTACATGAAAAAATAAGTAAAATAAACCAGATACCTTGGTCCTATACAATCTCTAAGAGTTGCAATCAAATCTCAGAACATCAAAAACATAAGGTCACCACAACTCTGCACACACAAGATACTTGGTCTTGCATTTCCTACATATGCCCCTCATCATCATGCAAGGCAATGGAGTAAAGCACTGCAGGCAGCTTAGCGGAATGCAGCTGGAGTCCCAAATGCACTCGACATGTGGACATCCTGACATCTTTTCAGTATCTCTTTCCTTAATGCTCCTAGGTTAAGGCTTCCTTTCTAAAATGTGGAAGAGATGCAAAAACTAATTATAAGTTCCAGCTGTAGATTAATAAATTAAAATATAAAAATAGATAAGAAGTACAAATAAGAAATCTATGAAAGAGAAAACTGCCCAGTAAACGTAAGAAGACATTTAGTCTCAGAAACACCCATGGAAATACAAATTAAAACACTAATGAGGTGCTTTTCACATTTATCTGAAGTTCTCCTTTATCTCCATGGTGCCTTCTTGCTTTAGGCTTTACTAGTTCTGCCATCAGCTTGGCCACCAATTGTCAATCATTCCGTCCATTACTCTTTCTGTGTTTGTTTGCCCACTTGCTTTGGTGTTTCTGAACTCAAGTGTCATCTCTTTCTGAAAACTCAAAGTCTTTCTTTCTCACATTTTTAACAATCCTTTCTTTCCCTTCTAGAGATCTAACACAGTGACAGAAAAGAAGACAGTGAGCAATGCCCTGCCAAGGTAGCGTTCATGCCAACTACCCAACTTGAATCTGATTTCCACAATTAATCAATAATTGACTCATTTCATTTGTCTATTGATGGAGGAAGGTCATCTGTCTATTGTGTTACTTTCATTGGTTAATAAAAAAAACTGCCTTGGCTTGATAGGTCAGAATTTAGATAGGTGGAGTAAACAGAACAGAATGCTGGGAGGAAGAAGGCAGTGAGGCAGACGCCATAGCTCTCCTCTCAGAGATGGATGCCAGTTAGACTCGTCCTGGTAAGCCACAGCCAAGTGGCAATACACATTAATAAAAGTGGGTTGAATCAATATGTAAGAGCTAGCCAATAAGAGGTTATAACTAATGGGCCAGGCAGTATTTAAATGAATACAGTTTCCGTGTAATTATTTCGGGTAAAGCTAGCCCGCCGCTCCTTCTACAGAGTGGTGAGCCTGGCGGTGGGAACGCAGCCGCTGTTCCATTTTACAACAGTCTATGACTTTGTAAGCCTGCAGGAAATGGAACTTTATTTAAGGCCCTGTACTGTACATGACACTTACTGTAACTAATGCTTAGATGTGCAGCGCTTTCTGTGGTCACACTTGGAGAAACAAAATGCTATGAAAGCATCCTAGAAAGAAGACAACACTAGGCACATATACTTCAGACATTGTACTTTCATGATAGTAAAAAGTTGGTAGGCTGCCCCACAAAAAAAGACAGAGTTCATTTGCATTACCTGAAAGATGATCAATATTTAGTAATATTTATATTTGTACAGCTATTTCTTTTAAAAGTCATCTTTTTTCATGTGAGCCTTATAAAATCACCCAATTCACTTCTTTAGGAGAATAAATAGAATTCAATTTTAATTAAAAAATGGAAGCGCAACTGCCTTTATCAAGTGGTCACAGGACCTTCGGTGTGTTGCGTTGGTACCCATGCTGCTTCCCCCTTCACTCAGTCTGCTGGTGAAGGGGCACGGAACAAGTCAAGATCAATGACAAGTAAAGAGTCAGAAATCAAGCAAAATTGGTTTATAGACTAAAAGTCCATAGTTCCTTTATCTCCCAGTACTGAACTTTGAAGAAAAAACACCTAAGCAAGGGCTTCACAGACTTTGTGGCTCACAGAGCCCAAAATGTGAACCGTGATCACAAGAACCACAGGTCGTCCACCAATGGCCATGAATGAGTCAGTCATCCTCAGCACTGTGAGCATCTTTTTCCAAAAATCATTTTTCCCATCGTGCAGATCAAGTCAATCCAGCTTCACTTCTGGGTCCTCCGTGGGCAAGACTGGCGGATCTCTGGCAGCAAATTGATTTCCTTTCACTGGTCACGAGGTGGTCACCATTTGTGAATGATTTCCAGAGTCAGAAGCTCCATAAATGTTGCTTAATAACTCTGATAGCATTTTCAACTAGAGCGTCTTTATTGCAAATTCTAAACTTTTTATTGTAGCAACAGACAAAACATCTAAATAAGAAGATAACAAAACCAACCTTCTAGCACTTTCTATCTTTTGTAGACCAGCAGCACCCTTTTAGGGCTGTGGATGAGATTTTGGTGTTTTTAAGATTTAGAAATAAGCATTTGCTCCAAAGAATGGCAATTTTGCATAACTGAAAATCTAACAAATAGTAAATCAAGAAGTGAAGTCTGTAAGGGCCTTTGGGCATTCCATGAATTGTGCACTGCCCAGGTACATTGTATTCTGCCGAGCAAGTACATTTCAAAGTGCCATTTGCCACATTACCATAAACCAAAAAGCTCTCCCAGTGCATTAAAAGTTTTACCATATTCCTTCTTAGTTTAGGATTTAAGAATAGCCACAAATTTTGCCTCTCCCCTCCCCATATAGAATGAACTTAGTCACAGATACCTGTGTTTGTGCAAGGCAACAACATGTCACAAATCTATGACACTCACATAGGATAAAGCAAGACTTTGCTCAATTCTCACAGATGTTCTCAGGACAGCCCGGAGGAATTCTATGTCAAACACCAAGGGGAATCAAAGCTCAATCAAGCAATGGCAGATCCGCTCACACATTCAGGCAGACAGGAGGGTTTTACCTTTGTCTTCGTCTCCTCCCTCTGCAGCAACTCCTTCTCTTTCCATAGTTTCTCTTTCTCCTCTTCCCTTTCTCTTCTTCGGACTGAAATTTCCATTTCCAGTCTCGCTAGCTCTTCCTGGTGGGCTCGCCATTGAGAAACCTGGAACACATAGAAACCCTTAGTTTCAATAACTATGTGATTCCACATGGGACAAGTTTCTGTGTAGAGGAGGACTCAGGTTTTTCCAAAGGTAAATACAAATTTTATGTGCATTTGTGGATATAAGTGTACAAGCTAGTATAGAAAACAGTAACCTTAAAATAGTTCATTCGGACACTCTTTAGCTGAACTCAGAAAGTCATAAAATTTGATTTTCCTGCAAAGAATTTGTGACTTCCATAAAATTGTAGGCCAGGAGAGAAAGTCCACTCCTGACAACTGCCTGGAGCACCAGGACCCACAGGCTGGATGACCCAGGAACCTAGGATAGAACCAAACACGTCTGGAGAAAAAAATGAGAGTTCAATGCAATGATGCCTAACAATTTTTCTGCTATACTCATAGATTGATTCCTAGCCCAATTGTCATCTGAGAAGCTTCATCCAGCAACTGATGGAAACAGATGCAGGCCCACAGACAAACATTGGGTGGAGTTCAGGGAATCCTGTGGAAGGATGGTGAGGAAGGATTGTAGGAGCCAGAGGAGTCAGGACAAGCCAAGAAAACCCACAGAAGTAACTAACCTGGATTCAGAGAGGCTCACAGTGACTGAATCAACAACCAGGGAGCCTGCATGGGAATGACATAGGCCTGCTGCATATATGTGACAGTTGTGTAGCTTGATCTTGTGGGACTTCTAACAGTGGGAGCAGGAGCTGTCTCTGACTCTTTTGCTGGCTTTAGGAACCCCTGTTGCCTTGCTCAGACTTAATACATGGGGAGGTGCTTAGCCTTACTATAACTTGATATGCCATATTTTGTTGATATCCATGGGAGGCCTGCACTTTCCTGATCAGAAACTGAGAAGTAGTTCTGGGTGTGGGACATTGAAGGGTTGTGGGGCAGGACTGGGAGGAGAGGAGAGAGGGGAAAGTGCAGTCAGAATGTGATATAGGTACATACATACACACACACACACACACACACACACACACACACACACACACAGTAGACGGAGCTATCGAGATGACTCAGCAGGTAAAGACTTGTGCTGCCAAGCACCATGAGCTGAGTTCAGTCCCCACATGGGTCAGAAAGTCTGTTCCATTCCTGTACGTTTCCCTCTGACCTCCAAAGCTGTGGCACAAGTGTACCCAGTCACACAAACACACAAAAGAAATAAAAATGCAAATTTTTTAAAATTAAAACTTTAATCGTTATCTTTAAACTATAGACTGTTCCAAACAACGATCAAGGAAGAACCGTCGATCCTATGCCTTTTCTTTTTTGTCTGGTCACTCAAATATCTGAGTGTTATCAGCTGTGATGGCTGCTGCTTGCCACATCACGGTATTTTACCCGTGTGTTCACCGCAGTCCACTTTCCCTCCCACAGATAGGTGAGCCCCCTTTTCACACAGTGATGTGCCACATCCCTGGGGCCTGGTCGGAGCACTGATATTCTGTACCGTGTTGTCTATTGACTGACGTCACCCATTTGGAATACTTCTCTGTCCCCTGATCACCACATTTCATTTGTTGCCAGAGAAAATATCGTGATTGGGGTTTTCCCTCCACCGCCTCACGACAGGGTCCTGACCTGCTCACCCACATAGCTGAACATGAGTCAGAGATCGTTCAAGAACCAGACTGCTGGCTGCATCAGACTCGTGTCTTACAAACTGATGAACGACCTGTAACAAAGGTCTTCGAAACATGGCTGCGGTTTTTCTTAAATCTAATCCTTAGACTTCCTGGCACGCAGTCGTGAAAATGTAATTTAAAAAGGTAGAGCAATCTAGGAGGATACCCAATATCTATCACAGGCCTTATACACATATGGACATACATCCACATATACACATACACATAAAACTGTTCTGGTTATTTTTTTATTTTTTATTTTTTTGGTTTTTTGTTGTTGTTTGATCAATTGACACAAACTGGAGTCAGCTGGAAAGAGGGAACCATAATTGAGACAATGTCTAAACCCGGGGGACATTGATGTGGGCCGGGCCAGCTCACTACTAGCAGCGCCATCCCTGAGCAGATGGTCTTGGGTTCTCTAAGAAAGCAGGCTGAGCAAAGCCATAGAAAGCACACTAATACACAGCGTGCCTCCATGGCCTCTGCTTCGGTTCCTGCCTCCACATTCCTGCTTGAGGTTCTGACCTGACTTCCCTTCAGGATGAACTGTAAGCTGAAATAAACACTTTCCTCCCTGAGTTGTTTTTGATCATGGTGTTTGTTTTGTCGCAGCAACAGAAATCAAACAAACAATACAACCATCAAGTAGACAAGTGCACAGAAATGTACTGCTGCAATGCTTTCTTTCTGCAGTGTAATTTAAAACAGAAAATTTGAGAAAAGTCTAAAGGCCCAGCAATAGACGTTGGCTTAAATCAATTTTGGTAAATTCCTACAATACCTATGGTTGAGAAAAGATGCTAAATTTCTGTATTTGTTGATATGAGAATGTCTATAATATTTTAGATGTAAGACACAATGTAAAACCATATTTATAGTATGATCTCATCAGCATAAAGTGTCTGTATCTAAGCAGAGACACTTGTAGAAGTTTTGCCCACATGATAATATAGCCTCTCAATATTATTTTGAAACATTTTTAAAAGTTATTAACCTTTCTATATCTAAATTAATATATCCCTTTTAAGCTGGGTACATTTTTTTAAACATATGTTTTATAAACAAATGAGACTAAAGAAAAATTATCAAAACTTTTTTCTGGTCCTTCTACACATCTGCCTGACAACGTAGTGAGGAAAAATACACAAGTGTGCAAAACTCCTCTTACTAAGGATAGCACATTAATTTTGCAAGTATGTGATTCAAGCATCATTCATTAATAACGTACAAAATTAAAAATTGAAAATTGTCACCCAAATATGAGTAAAGTGCCTCTAAATCATATCGCTCCTTAAATATTTTATATTAACTTCAAAATTTTAATTTTCTAAAAGTATGCTTTGCCATGTCTATTAAAATAAGCAAGAAAACGCCACCCCCTGGCTTGCAGCTAGTGTATCTACCCCATCAACCTCAAATCAGCGTGGCTTAGTTATTTGGACCTGGGACCTAGAATACATTGTCTGTGCCTGGATCCTGCTGCGTGCCTTGCCTTTAAGTCTTTTATCTACAACTTCTACAATCCAAATCAAATGTCCTGACAACTGTTGCCAACAGTCTCCCTCCTGAACACTTGAAGGGAGGAGGAGTCTGGCCTCTCCTCCACCTGTTGGCAATCCCACAAAGAAAGGATTCTTTCTTCTGCACTGCATTGGTTCTCTCTCCCTGCCCCTTACCGGTTCAACCCCATCCCCTCTTTCTTCTCCAGTCTTACTCTATGATTTAATCCTGTTCTGTGAAGTCTTGCCTTGGGGAGACTGCCTGCAAAATCTACATTAGCAGCTCTTTCCGCCTGCAATCCAGCTCTTAAATAATTCTTAAAGACTCCTATTTGATAGTGCTTCTTGCATCCAGACTTCCAAAGTTAAACTTGGGACCTGTGGTGCTGTCGAAGCTTCATACCAAGCCCAGAGTACATGTCTCTCCTCAAACACCCGCTTCTGTCAGTGGGGCCACAAGTCTCCCTGAAGTATGGATTATTTTCATGGTGTAAGCCCAGCAATACAAATGTTTCTTTGCATTTCACAACAATCTTTGTTGATATGTATAACACGGTGACTTTATATTTATATATGTATAGTTTGATTTATATATGTATTTACTAATGCTTAGACGAAATTTTTTATGACAAATCAATTTCAAAACCATTGAGATTGGTTGTAATTGTCTAGTTAACTCAATCTTTTGGCTAAATGTATTGACCAAGACTGGAAGGTTCACGAGGGTAATGTCAATTGATTAAGTTGACTTTCTCACTCACAACCCCACATTAATCTTGCTTGTATGTACTCCCGAAGCGAGCTTCTTCCTTGGCTCTGCCTCTAACAGCCATTCTTACTGGTACTCTTGTCAATGGTATGTTGACGCCAATTCTTTAAATAATGTCAAGAATTATTTTATTTAATCTGTATGAGTGTTTTGCCTATATGTGTGTCTGTGTACCATGTGCATGCCTGATGCCTACAGCAGCCAGAACAGAGCATTAGATCTCTTGAAGCTGGAGCTACAGACAGTTATAAGAAGCCGTGTAAGTCCTGAGAATTGAACGCAGGTCCTTTAGAAGAGCAGCCATTGCTCTTAACCACTGAGCCATCTCTTAAGCCCCAAACTCATTATCTTTAACTTCATGGAGTAAAAGATACAAACACTCCCTACTTGGAATGTCCTTGATTTCCCTGTTTTATAAGATGGTTTATCACTCAGCTGGGGCCCAAATCATGGCTCACAGCTTTGAAAAAACACTCTCCAGCACATGCACCGCTGTCTCTTATTTCATACACCACGCCATCACTACTCACTAATATGCTGAGCATCTTGTTTTCCTTAGAACATATTTCATAGAGCAGATATCCATCGGAGGAGGGGTGAGTTTGCTCCTGGCCCGCGGCAGAAGACCGGCAAGGAGGAATTCAGACTTTTCCTGACCCCCTTGACTCCCTGGTCACCCTGCAGTGGTGGCTCCACACTGTGGAGCTCTCCCGCCTCCCATCCCAGTTCTCATCCAGGTACATTTTCCTCTCTTCCTCCCTTCCGCCTGGGGCCATAAGATCTCCCCAGCTCAGCTGCCTTGTGCACTGGGCCTGGGCTGTGGATGCAACCCGGCAGGAGGCAGTTCCTGTGTTTTGATAGCCTGCCTGAGGACAGGTGGGCTCTGTGTCAGCTCAGCGACATTCCTGGCCAGCAAGGGGCACTGATCTTCTAGCAGACATTCATCGGAGGAGGGGATTTCCCCAGCGAAGCTGCCTTGTGCACTGGGCCTGGGCTGTGAGCACAACCCTGCAGGAGGGAGTGCCTGTGTTTCAATAGCCTGCCTGAGGAAAGGTAGGCCTTCTGTCAGTGAAGTCCCTGCCCAGC